TAATTCGTAGTGTAGTGTAACAAGAAATCATATTTTATATCCCAATGATAATAAACTTACCATTTTATACAGGATGTCCACAAATTTAAACTAATCAAATAAGAACTTTAAGTGGCTATAACTTGATTAATTTAAATACAACCCCATATTTTTTAGTTTACCAGGAAATGCAATTTTTAATTACCTATCGAATGGTACTAGGATGTTGATAACTAAGTTTTTGCCTTTTTACAAAATACACCAAATAATGGTTCTTTAACATTTTTAAATGTGCGCTCGGTAGGCGTCGGACAATTCATAAAATAATACTTTTTAAAAATCAAACGGTTTAGCCGCAAACTTCCGTGCCGTATAGCGTGAATAACCCTGTATAAAAGCATGCAAAAGTTGATTTGAACCAAACATAACAAATCACATTCAGATGCAAGCACCGATGTGACAGCAATGTCAATCAAACAAGTGTCAAATTACCACTTAACTTGTAGTTGTACTTTTTGCCATCAGGTGTCGCCAACTGCACTTTGATTTGTTTTGACCATTCCAGTTTAAACCCCTTTGCTGCACAACCCTTCGAAAACTATTTGGATGACGGGCGTGACTGTTGCCAAGCAACAATGGTTCGATCCATTCATTCGGAAGTATGAAAAAATTACCATTAGAAAAACGTTCTGAATTGAGTGTGGTAGATTTATATGAGTGGGATTTTCAATTTTAGAACTGAGCTGCACAATCCTGAACGATTCACACACACTTGCAGTTTCAATTAACAATATCCATCTAATCCGCGATTGAAAATTGATCTTCTCACTTGAACTATTGAGGTAATTTCCCTTGTTTGTTACATTCTTTTGGTTGAAAACCTCAAGTTTCATCAAGGATTAAATCAATAATTGTTCTGTTGTCGTTTGTAGGTTCACATTGGTTAAGCTTTTATACTATAATTTATTCAAAATCTAATATGCGTCCAACATTCTTCGCTACAAGCCCAGTTATTACCGAATGCTTGATGTCATTCATCTCGAACTCCAAGCCCAAGCGGCGCGCCGACGGAAGCTTCTTGAAATGATTGCCATTCCTTTAATTAATTGTTGAACTAATTTCCGAACTAAAAAAGCCTGTTGAACTAATTTGCTTGTGAGATTGAAAAAAAGAGTTGAAACCGGCCTTCAACAATACTGCAACGTGCCAGGTATATTTCACGGGGCACACCAAACTTTCAACATTGGTCGAAGTTGGAGCTTTTTTGAACTTTATTTCCTTGGGTACCTGAACCTTTCTGTTGTGTGGTTCCATTCATTCAACTTGCAGCTTGCGGATCAGTGTCGAGTCATATCTGACAATAGCAGTTTTGCAGCTGGAACTTTATAGTTCCGATCAACATTTTTTTTTCAGAGAATTAGAACATCCACTGTACCGACTTTTGCTCATTCATTAATGCCATTCCACCGTACTTTCTCTGACTCCGATAAACTTACTTTACAAGAAATGATAATCCAGTTTCCTTATCGAATACTTCAAATCCACCGCACTAGGCAAACGCTTCACATTATCAAATACACAGCCACTAGTTGATACGCACTTTTGTTGAAATAATCGGTCTGATCGTCATCAACCAACGGCCATTCGAATTTGGTACCACACACCCAGCCGTGTATCAAGCAAACACTCGCCGACCGGATTTACGAACGTTTCGATACTTAACGAAAGGCAGGCGCTCAGAACAACATTTATCCGCGGCTCCAACCAGACTGAATTGGAAATTGTCGACCCGCGCCAATTGACGTGCCGATCGGTGCGGACCGACTTTGTACCGATTATTGATAGACACCATTGGATATTTGCTTCTCTTTCTATTGCCTTGGAATCGGAGGAAGAACGAGAATGTTGAACCGCGCAGTAGTGGCCGGTTGACCGTCGAGAACCGTCTTCAGTTCTTCAGAGTTCAAGAAAGAGGTAAAGATGCCGAGGAGGCAACCAGAGGCAACCTTAGCAAGGTCATACTAAGAAGAGGTTCGTTGCTTGGTGAAGAAATTGAATATGGTCATTTGGCCGATTTCACATACGAGTTAAATCGCGCAGATTTTGATACCACGATAATATACAAGTTGTGTACTAATTAGTGTTATTCCGGTGCCTTCCTTTCATAAAAGAAGATTTACTGGCTCCTTAACTTATAAACCGCTTGCCGCATCCTCAAATCAATAGGGATATTTTATATTTTACCACTTAAGTAGCCAGTTCGAAGCACTCAAACGTTGTACCCCGTACGTAGCTTGAAGATATGATGAAAAATTCATAATCGTCAAAATCGACAATTCAAAAGAAGAGAAGGGTAGAACACACATTCTTCGCTCGTTGAAAAGGATTCATTAGAAGCTTCTAATAATCTCCATTCGTACATTTGAAAGTAGTTTAAGACCTTTAGCTGGCATTTGTATTCTGTTATATCGTTTTACAATTTACAACTATTGTCTATTGTATGTCGCCGTTTTGAGCAGTTCAGCGCAACGTAACCTTTATGGTCAATACAAAACGGCTCTCTAATCCTTAATCCCTATAAAAACCAGGACATCACTAGGTTGAAAAAATTTACTTTCAAATTGTCTGTCATTAAAACGCATCCAGCGTATTGCAGTATTATACATAAATACAGGGTGAGTTTTTTCGATGACTAGTACAGGGATCTTGGAAACTATAGCAGATACAACGAGAGTTAAATGGACACAGAATTGTAGTTCTGAATGCTCTACTCGGAACTACTTTTCTGGAAAAAAACTGATTTATGTCAGATTTTTAATTGACCCCTAGTTCCGTCAATGTATGACAGGCAAAAAGAAAATCGAAAAGTTGTAGCCAATTGCATTCCGAAGAAAATGGCATGAGACATTTCTACAAATTAACTTTCATTTTTGACACATGTCACAAACTTGATTTTGCTTAAATGGCAACCATATCTGATTGTGCTATTGAATAGGGTATTTTATTATGATTTCAGTGATATCATCGATAGGTTTTTTCGAGAATAAAGTGTTTGCGAATGATTTTTGCTTTCCCAATTTAGTCGATCGAAGTTAGTCATGGAAATCAGTATAAAGCAGACAGCAGTGTTCCCATAGCAACAAATAATAACCCAAGGGCCGATCCTTCAATTCTCTATCCAACGATGCCAAAACTAAATCTGTTGCTCGAATGGTTCTTGAGAAACTTCGGAAAAGGCAGCGTCATGTTCAAGTGGATTTTGCAACTCAAAAAAAAATTACGCAAATCTAAAACTTCTTGAATTCAAGCATTTTTTGAGAAAACTGCCAAC